AAGGCACCTGGAAAGGATAACATCCCTGCTGAAGTGCTGAAGTGCTGTAAAGAGATCATCACCACCAAACTATATGAAGTCTTTCATCTTTGCTGGGGGGAAGGTGGAGTACCACAGGACATGAAGGATGCAAACATCATCACGTTGTACAAGAACAAAGGAAACAGAGGCGACTGCAATAACTGCCGTGGCATCTCTCTTCTCAGCGTTATAGGGAAGCTGCTTGCCTGTGTTCTGCTAAAGAGGCTCCAGGTGCTTGCAGACAGAGCCTATACAGAATCACAGTGTGGATTTCGAGCTAATATATCCACCACTGACATGGTATTCTCCCTCAGACAGCTGCAGGAGAAATGCAAGGAACAACAACAGCCACTCTTTGTGACCTTCATAGATCTCACAAAGGCCTTCGACTTGGTTAGCACGGATGGCCTTTTTAAAAATACTTTCCAAGATTGGATATCCAGCTCAGCTCCTTAACATTATCAGGTCCTTTCATGAGAAAATGAAGGGCATTGTAGCTTTTCATGGCTCAACATCAGATCCCTTTGACATCCGAAGCAGGGTGAAACAGGGCTGTGTCCTCATACCGACTCTGTTTGGGATCTTTTTTGCTGTCATGCTGAAACACGCCTTTGTAACTGCAACAGAAGGTGTCTATCTCTGGACTAGATCAGATGGAAAGTTCTTTAATCTCTCTCGATTGAGAGCAAAGACCAAAGTCCAGCTGAAATGCATATGGGCCTTCCTCTTCCCTGATGATGCAGCCATCATTGCCCATTCTGCTGAAGACCTCCAACAACCCATGAATTGTTTTAGCACGGCCTGTCAAGACTTTGGACTAACAATCAGCCTGAAGAAAACACAAGTCATGGGCCAGGGCATGGACTCACCTCCCTCTATTACCATCTCCACATAAGAATTGGAGGTTGTTCATGACTTTGTGTACCTTGGTATAAAAACCAGAGCAGAGGGACGAAAAGGGGAAAAGAAAAAGAAAAAAGGGTCATCTGCTAGATTTAGTGTGGAAAGCCTCCCTGAAAAGCCACATCTTTAGTTGCCTCCTAAATATCAAATATAACTGTCTACCTTGGCTCAATGATCTCTGACACTCTCTCCCTAAATGTCAAGCTGGATAAACGCATTGGCAAAGCAGCTACCATGTCCTCAAGACTCACAAAGAGAGTATGGCTCAGTAAGAAGCTGACGGCATACACCAAGATCCAGTTCTATAGAGCCTATGTCCTGAGCACACTCCTGTACTGCAGTGAGTCCTGGACCCTTTGTGCATGGCAGGAGAGGAAGCGGAACACCTTCCATATGCATTGCCTCTGACGGATTTTTGGTATCACCTGGCAGGATAAAGGTCCAAACAGAGTAATCCTAGAACAAGCTGGAATTTTTAGCAAGTATACATTACTGAAACAGCATCTATATTGGTTTGGGCATGTCGTGAGAATGGCTGATACTCG